CTAGAGATCAGTTCTTTACCATAGGAGTTGTGAGTTCTCCTTTCTGTCCCTGGCTATACATCATGTCATCTCTGCACAATGATGAGGGAAGCCCTGTTACTACCAAGAACCTGTTACCTCACCTTCTCAACACAAGTATTCTGTTGCCCATGGCTTTCAAAAGTATATCTTCATTAAATAATATACTTTCAAAATAAGAAGACAAATACTGTAAAAATTCATATCTCAAAAGAGGCAATAATTCTTATCTAGATATCAATAGCCAGTATTGTGGTTGTGAGCTATTTTCTTTTTTTTTAATTTTTTTATTTTATTTTCCAGTTTGAATTTAGAAACAAGGTTGCTTCACAAGTCAGTTCCAGGTCCCTCTCCCTTTCCCTCCCCTCCTCCCGTGCCCTCCCCCCAACCCCCCCCCGTTATCCCCTCATTCCCCCAGGGAGGGTGAGGCCCTCCATGGGGGTGTCCATAGTCTGTCATTTCATATAGGGCAGGGCCTAGACCCTTCCCCAAGAGTTCAGGGTGAGAGTGGCTCTCACATTGTTGGATGGGAGTCCAAAGTCCGTGTGTATACTCGGGATGGGTACTGATCTGCTGCCCAAGGCTCAATAGATTACCTAGGCCTCCTCACTGACACCCAGATTCAGGGGGTCTTGATCAGTCCCATGCTGGATTCCCAGGCTGATGCCTGGGATTCAAGAGTTAACCTTTGTCTGGTCAGCTGTTTCTGGGGTTAAACCAGCCCAGTCTTAATCCCTTTGATCATCAGTCCTCCCTCTCTGTTACTGGCTTTCTTGAGTTCAGCTCAGTACTTAACCAAGGGAGTCTGCCTCTTCTTCCATCAGCCACTAAATGAAGTTTCTGTTTCCCAGACTCTCTGGCCATGGGATTGTAGGCTGGCACTCCCCAGGTCTATGTCTAAAATCCATATATGAGAGAGTACATGCCATGTTTCTCTTTTTGTGACTGGGTTACCTCACTCAGGATGGTTTCTTCTAGTGTCATCCATTTGCCTGCGAATCTCAAGATTCCATTACTTTTTTCTGCTGAATATTACTCCATTGTGTAGATGTACCACATTTTCTCTATCCACTCTTCGGTTGAGGGACATCTAGGTTGCTTCCAAGTTCTGGCTATTACAAATAAAGCTGCTATGAACATAGTGGAACAGACATCTTTGTTGTATGAATGGGCATCTTTTGTATATATGCCTAAGAGTGGAGTTGCTGGGTCTTGTGGTAGGTTTATTCCCATTTTTCTGAGGAATCTCCATACTGATTTCCAAAGTGGCTGAACCAGTTGGCACTCCCACCAGCAATGGAGGAGTGTCCCCCTTTCACCACATCCTCTCCAGCATAAATTGTCATTGGTGTTTTTGATTTTAGCCATTCTGACAGGAGTGAGATGGTATCTCAGAGTTGTTTTGATTTGCATTTCCCGGATGGCTAAGGATGTCTCAGCCATTTTAGTCTCCTCTATTGAAAACTCTCTATTTAGTTCTGCAGCCCACTTTTTAATTGGGTCCTTTGATGTTTTGGAGACTTGCTTCTTAAGTTCTTTGTAAATTTTGGAGATCAACCCTCTGTCAGATGTGGGATTAGTGAATATTTTTTCCCATTCTGTGGGCTGCCTTTTTGTCTTGCTGACTGTGTCCTTTGCCTTACAGAAGCTTCTCAGTTTCAGTAGGTCCCATTTATTGATTGTTGATCTCACTGTCTGTGCTACTGGTGTTATGTTCAGGAAGCTGTCTCCTGCACCAATTCGTTCAAGGGTACCACCCACTTTCTCTTCTAAGAGGTTCAGTGTGGCTGGATTTATGTTGAGATCTTTGATCCATTTGGACTTAAGTTTTGTGCATGGCGATAAACATGGATTGATCCGCATTCTTCTACATGCCAGTCTCCAGTTATGCCAGCACCATTTGTTGAAGATGCTTTCTTTATTCCATTGTATATTTTTAGCTTCTTTGTCAAAGATCAGATGTTCGTATGTGTGTGGGTTAATACCCGGGTTTTCAATTCGATTCCATTGGTCTACCTATCTATTTTTGTGCCAATACCAAGCTGTTTTCAGGACTATAGCTCTATAAATAGAGCTTGAGGTCAGGGATGGTGATGCCTCCGGACGTTGCCTTGTTGAACAGGGTTGTTTTGGCTATCCTGGGTCTTTTTCTTTTGTTTTTCCATACAAAATTGATTTTTGTGTCCTCCCGTCTCCTTTCCTGGGGTTCCTAGGTTACACTGTGTATGCCATGCAATTGTTTATTTGACCCAACTGTGTATCATCACTAAAAATAAGCTACCCCAAACATTTCCTGTTCTATTAAGAGTTCTCCGCTGAATAGTGTAGATGTGGTACAATTTAATAAATCGGAGAGTGGAGAAAATAAATCTGCAGTCAGGCAACTTTAGCCACCCCACTAAGATTATTGTAGCACATAAAAATCTTCCACCAGGCTCTTTCACTCATACACAAACCCTCAAAGGAATGATTTTGTATGGGAAATGGTTATAGCTGTCAATCAGTTATTCTCCATGTCATGATCTCTATGTGTCTTCCAGGTTGTTAGGGGGTGATTATGGGTTCCTGTCAAATGAGATGTCTACTATGTATTCAACATGAGGCAGTTTGTATTTTTCTAAGTCTATTGCTTTCCTGTCTGAGGAGGTTAAGCAAATCTCAGTGATCCAGAGGGAAGAGGACTAGCATCCAGTGCAGGGAGCAGGCACAGACATGCCTGGGGCACATAGACCTGCACAACTGGATTAGACTTCTGCATAAATACACTTGTCTTGATTGTCACATTCCACCCAAGTTAGACCTGCATGCATAAAAATGGCTCCAAGCCTGGATTTCAAAGCTCTTTGTCTCCCCTGTTGCTCTTTAACCACCCAGCTCAGACAATTTTTGTGTTATATCTATCAAGATGATTAAGGGACTGGAAATTTGATTTGTAAGGACATACTGAGAAAAGTAAATATTTGCAACCTGGCCCAAGGGAAGATATTATAGATGTTTTCTATCCTCACATCATGAAGAAGACTTGGTTTTGCTTTTCCCAATAAGTGGATTTTAGGGACAGTAAAATATAGAGGAAGTTTTCTGAGGATGATCTCACTTATGCTGATTGGATGATTGTATCAGTTGAAAATTGCATTTAGCAGCCACTAGCAAAGTAGATACCCACAGCTTAAACAAAGAGGTCTTCATTTTCTCTTCTCTGACATGAGGCCTAGAAGAGTGTTGTCTGGGACTGAAGTGTGGCACCTCTAAGGTCACAGTATGCTTGAACCATCTTTCCTTTAGGCTCCATCGTCCTTAGCAGTGACTTCCACTTGCAAAGTCTCCTATTGTTTGAGAAGAGTCACTTTAGCTCAGTTGGTATGCCTACATGCCAGAAAGGGAATAGACAAAATTAGTCCTTGCCTACCATGATCGCTCCAGAGAGCTTTCCCTGTGCAGCTCAGACTTCATATCACATGGCACTCAGTACCACATTTGCAAGTTAATGAGATTGTTTGTTTCAGTGTTCTGACATTGGGCACACTTTCAACCACAATAATATGAAGGTAGGACTAGAATAATGACCACTAGGTAGGAGAGCAGTGATTTCTATCACAGTAATTCACCTCTAAAGTAACTGTAGTGCTAGAAGGTTCCGTTTGTAATACTACCCCTTGAGACTTAGTTCCCTCTGCTCCCACTCTTACCTGTTTAAGTGCATTTATCAACACATACCTTAAGTTGATTTAAGTAAGTAGCTTTCTCAATGGCCCTAAGAAAATAATAACTACAATGTTATGATTCCTATTAGATCCCAAGCATTGTGTTCTCATGTAAATATTCCTGGGCAGGGGATGAGAACAGAGAATACAGGATTCACTACAAGTTGCTGGTGGTGAAACTGGGGGATGGCCATTGGGTTTGGTAAAATTCTGATTTCAGGAATATTGGTATTTTCCCACTGAAAAGTTTTCAGAATCACCTCACCTAATCCTCACTTTACTTCAGAAGAAGTCAGTACCATTCCCACCAGATGCATCACCCGTAGAAGTCTGTCATCCTACCTCCAGCACGCAGCAGACCAAGGCTTCACACCTGGGTTTCCCAACTTTGAAGCCGGAGCACGATTTTTACCCAAATGTCACTTGGAAACTAGTTGGATGTGGGTCATTTGGGGAGTCAATCACCCCAGTATCTTTTCTCAGATCACAGGGAGAGTTTGTCAGCACTCAAGTCTCATATGCACAGTCCAATGAGCTTTAATGCTCCGTTAGCCACAACTTATCCAAATCAGCCAATCACCTGTAACTTTTCCTTTCAAGAACATAACCATCTGTTGAAATGAAATTAATCTTGAGCAATGGCTTAGTGTCAGACATCTTTAACAGCACTTAATTCAAAGTGTGGTTTCTGTCACAGTGAACACCTGCCCTAGTGCTGTATCTTAAGTGCCTATATGTCCATTAAGAGTCTTTTTATTGTATTTTATGTTGCTATTCACTATGTACTCAAAGACTAAACAGTGGCTTTGCATTTAAATAGAGCCCTCACTAAGGTGAACTTAGAAAAGGCTCCGGTACCTCTTTCAACCTCCTCTGGTGTCAGCTCTGTGTATCCACAACCTCACTCCTAGTCATCGCTTCCGATTTCAGCAGCAGTCTCTCACCTCTCCCTCTCTTCCTCTCTCCCTCCACCCCCTCCCCACTTAGAAGAAAGATTTGTGAAAATAGAGCAGGTCATTTTCCGAAAGTTATCCCTGCCGTGTCTGGTCATGTGGTCTCCAGAGTGTGTAACTTTCTCACACCCTAAGAACATCTGAAGGCAGTTGGCTCTGGGAAGCCCAGTGAGTTAAAGGTCCCTGCATTGCGCTGCTTTGTTCCTAGATTTTCTGTCACAGCATAGATTACTGCTTATATTTTATTTGCTTCAGATTCTTTCTGAAATAAGTGAATGAAACATACTAAGCAGTAAGGGAAGTGTGGCTTTGATTTGTTTTTCAGGGCAGCTTTCGGCAAGGAGTCAGAAGTTCTAATTGGGAACCTTGGTGACAAACTGATTCCTCCACAAGACATTCTCCGTGACGTCAGTGACCTCAAAGCCTTGGCCAACATGCACGAAAGCTTGGAATGGCTGGCCGGCCGAACAAAGTCAGCTTTTGCCAACCTCTCTACGTCCCAGAGTAAGTGCCTAGGAGGGTGGCAACTGCCGGGTGATTGCAGAGCTAATCCGAGTACTTCCATCTGGAACATGAGTGTGCGTGCTCATCATCTGATGGAGCATGCCCCATTAGAGCCCCATTTGTTCACACTGCATAACTCTTACCTTGAGATTCTGGGGAAGAACTCATCTTAGCTTCCCTCTGTGGAGTACGAGAAGGCAAAATGGATCATGTCACATGACTTCATACTAAACCCTAGAAACACAACACACTGTGAAAAGAAAATACTGATTCTCAAGAACAGAAAGCAATTCCTTTTTGTCTTCATTCCAGAAACTTCTCTTAGAGCCTGAGTGCATGGCTACATTCTTCCTCTAACTAGATAAAAGTTAATAAAAACTGTCTTAAAAAGAGAATAATAGAAGTGATTTAAATAGAAAATAGATGTAATAAGTATGACAATTATTCAGGAAAAGAGAAAGATGAACGCTAACAGTTATAGGTTTCTAAGAAATTGAGGATTGGGGTAGGAAATAAAAATGAGAGCCCTTTCATCAAGGACCGATTTTTTAAAGAAAAATAATTAGAAAACCTTAAGGCTATAAAATAAATGCTTTTTATAAAGATTATTTTTCTGTATATGCGATTTTCCTGCATTTGTGTATATTTACTGGGTGTGTGTGAGCGCATGTGCATGCGTGCACGCCTAGTACCTGTGAAGCCCAAAACAAGGTGTGGGGTTCCCTGGGACTAGAGTTTTAGGTGGCTATGAGTTCCCATGTAGGTTCTGGGAACACAGCCCAGCCCAGACCCCTCTGCAAGAGCAGCACGTGCTGGGACATCACCCTAGCCACTAATAAATGCTTCTTAGAAAGCAGCAATTCATCATGAATATTCTAGAATGCACGATGTAAAGGAGAGCTGAGGAACACTGTGGATAGAGAAGAGAGCAAGTTTAGATGTGCAAGAGGAGGCATAGAAGCAAAATAAGGAAACATAAACTCTTGGCAGGAAGAGAGCAGTGAGATTATCTCTGTCCTGTTAGGGCTAGCAATCAGATGGTCATTAGGAAGAAACTGCCCGTGTTTATTGTGACTGTAAACTTTGGAATCAGTTATTTATTATCAGTGTCCTTTGAGATGCTATTATTTTTTGAGTAACCACAGTTGCAGTATAGAAATTGAAAGTCACAGAGATAAATTGGTCCGTGAAACACAGGCCCGCGGCCAGAGTTTGTGAGACCCCTCGAAGGCTCATTGCTTGTGCCCTCTGGTGCTGATCCTGTCCCCATGCTCACAGTTGTGGGGAGCAGAAGGGGAGGGCAGCAGAAGCAATGTGCAGGTAGGAATCATATCATGTTCTCTGACTTTCACTTGAAAGGTATAGTCTTCACTTATACTTTTATTTTAAAATGTTGTTTTATCTAATTAACAATTGCACATGTCTAGTCTCAGAAATTTGTACAAATAGGAAATGTACCTGTTTGGGCCTGGTATTACATTTGAGCAGTCTGCATAAAGAGTTATCTGTGGAAGGCCACTCCAGCTTTACAATCCCGTAACCACAGTTCTGCTGCATGCAGCCTCTGAAACCATCCCTTTTCTCTCCCAGCCACTCTGCTCTTCCTCTCCAAAAAGTCAAGGTTAACCTCCTCTGTGCTAACTACAAACAGCTCTGAAAGGGTACCAGGTGTCTCTTTTCATGGTTTCTTTTCGCTCTTGTGAATGCAGGTATATCTCCCCCATGATGTTTAGAAGGGATATGCTTGTTTGCTGGCATATATACACAAATATCTAATATTTTATAATGCATTTCTTTTTATTTTGGGTGGCATACCATGCTAGATTTCTAGTTTGTCCTTTCCCAAAGGGTTTCACAAGACAAAACAATTTGCAGCTAGCCACTGAGTGATTCAGACAAGATAAGCTAACTGATGCCAACTGTTCTCTAAAGGAGAAAGATGCTCTCCAAGTTACACTTAACTTTGTAATTGCTCAATTTAGCTGTTGTGTTCGTGTCACTGAGAGTACCCAGTGGAGATGATGTCTAATTCATGTCTTTAATCATCTCTGTTATTCTGACAAAGATCTCTTCTACTACGCCCATTAGTGCTTCTAGTGAGCTTGGTTCCATTTGATAATACAAGTTGCAGCCTCTCAGCTCCTTTCAGGGTGATTATTCCACCCAGTGAGTGATTTAACTAACTGTCAGCATTTTTAAGATCAGTTCAAAACCCAAGTGAACTATAATCACTACTTCTGGTGTCTTTGCTAAAACAAAGCACCAAGCAAACCTGATTTATCTCGCTAGCGTCAGCCCAGTTCACCCCCACTTGCCAGGTCTGTGAATTCCCACTGGTGTTTGTCATCTGAACAAAGAAGAAGATTCTGTTATTGGCCTACTTTGATTGTTCCATGTCAGTGTGACTCTACACCGGTGTCTAAAAAGGGACAGTTCTTTATTATTGTTTGGAAAAGTGGACCAAAAAATTACATCATCTTAAGTATTTCCAAGCCAATTTCTTGTTCTATACCCTGGTAACTATTTGCTGTGATAAATGTCATGTTGCATTAAACTCACATTACAAGTGTAATGGACTAGAGACGGCTGGCAAAAAAAATTTCTTTTTTTTTAATTTTTAATTTTTTATCCTATGTGCATTGTTGTTTTTACCTGTATGTATGTCTGTGTGAGGGTGTCAGATCTTGGAGTTGATAGTTGTGAACTGCCATGTGGGTGCTGGAAATTGAACCTGGGTCCTCTGAAAGAGTGGTCAGTGTTCTTAACTACTGAGCCATCTCTCCACCCCCCCAAAAAAACATTTTCATATTAAACATCTCTTTAGTCAAGTACAGCAGGATCCTTAACCACCAAAAACATGTTCTGGCCTCCTGAGAAAATTATCATCTATTGGTGGCAAAGTATGATTGGTCACATAATGTCCAGGAGATCAGAGTGAATGACATCCCCAAGGGTGATTCTTTTCTATTTCTTTTAGTATTTTCCTAAGTGTCCCTGTCTTCTTTGCACACTGAGGGGTCTCCTCCCTCTCCCCTCTATGCTGACTGCAGAACACATTGCTTTTCCCTTGGGACTTTACAGTCCATGGTCGCCGTTCCGTCTCCTGAGAGGATTCTGCCCAAACTTCTCTGCATCTGTTCCCTTCAGATTGTTCCTCGCTTGGACAATAGAGAGATAACTCATCCATAAAGAGATCTTGTTGCTCTTGCAGAGGAACTGAACTCAGCACCCACATCAGACAGCTCCCAACTGCCTGCACCTCTGACTCCAGGGGACCCCACCTCCTCTCCTGGAGCCTGTGTGCTCATGTGCCGTGTGCACACGTGAATGTAGCACAGCTTGGGTATGGAGGTCAGAGGACAGCTTGTTGAAGTCAGTTTCCTCTTTCCCCGGGTGCGCTCTGGTGATCTAACTCAAGTCATCAGGCTTGTTGACAAGGCAGCTGGGCATGGGGTATTCGTGGTGGACATGTCTACACATTTGCCACCATTTGCCACTCTATTGACTTTTTGCTTTTCAGAAGCTTTTAAGCTTAAGCTTACTGCAGCCCCACTTGTCTGTTTTCGCCTTGATTTCCTGTTGAAAAGATTGTGCTTTCTACAGTGTGCTTGCCGTCTTTGTTGAAAATCTTTTCATTGTAAGCTCCTGATTTTATTTCTCCACTCTCCACATGGATGTGTCAGTTTCAGAAAGCAGATACACAGACCTGAAGGAGAGACTGCAGGGCATGCTCTTCCCAGGTTGCTTTCTCACAGAGTCCCTGTGTTCAAATCTCTAAGATTAAGGTTCTATAGCTTCCTTGGTTATATACTGCACTGTGCTACTTAAGCTAAAGTACTACTTAGGAGGCCTTATTTTTCTATTAAGACTATCTCAGTCCTTTAGTGTTATGTTCTATTCAAAAAAATCAGTGCTCAGTATTTTCTCTTTAAAATGTTATCTAAAGGGCTGGAAATGTATTTGCCTAGCATGCACAAAAACAAGGTTCAATCCCCAGGATTGAACAGGAATTGTAACACTGGCCTGTAATTCCGAAATCCAGGAGTTGGAGACAAAGGGTCAGAAGTTCAAGGTCATCTTCAGGTTCTTAGTTTTGATCATCATTTTCTTCTCATACCTCAACAACATTTCTATGCCTTAGGTACATGGAATTATTGCATCTATTTCTTTTGAAATTCATCTGAGTTATAATCAGTGTTAATGCACCACCCTTTATTTCTGTTTTACAAACATTTTCCAATTGAGGAACTTGCTGTGCTGTGTAATATAGTCTAGATATTTCACTGTGCCACACTGTATCCGCCAGCCTATATGGCTATTTTAATTAAGTTAAAATGTCCTTTTCTCTTTTGGCCACTTTACTGTCATCAGCTCATTCTGTTGAGCATTGCTGTGGCTCCTCATCCCCCCACTGATGTTTTTAGCAGTAACAGTCCATATACTCTGCCCTTGCAGTGTACTCACAATGCCTTCCTGGCTGTCTCGAAACCTGAGTAACTATATGAACTGTTCAACCCCTAAATCACATGTGCACCCCAACAGAGATGTATGTTATTTGCCCTCTTTTTTTTCTAAGCTGGTTTTTCCGTTGATGTTTATAGATGCTAAAAGGGAAGGTGTGAGTGATCACATAATCTCAGGAAACATGATGATGAAACCCCTAGAGTATGCCTCTCTACCGAATCTACGAAGATTTCCAATGTATTGACTTGGCTACAACAGCAGTAGAGCTTATCAGACATGTTTCTCATGGGAATCCTCTCGCTGCAAGGTGCTCGTAGGCCTTCCCCATGAGCCAGCTTCTTGGCCTCACAGTTCAGTGCCATAGCGCTATTACTGGTTTAATGGCTCATGTCTCTCCAATCCTTGTCGGGCACAGATGTTCCACAGTTGCAAGGACTTAATTTCTTACTCATGACAAATTTGTACAACCCCAGGTGACTTCTCTTGTAATCTAATTATTTCGCTCTTCAGTTGTTTTTTTAACGTTGATGTCAGGC